ATATATAATTTCCTCTGCTTTAGTCAGGCTTCCATTGTTTATATAATGATTAATTGATCATGTTTTGTAGTTACTTGAAGTTGTGACTCACTCACTCACACCTAACTGAATACTGAGAGGTTTCACCCTATAATTTTGTTCTTAAGAAATTGACGATTTGATGATGTGATTTGTCAAATAAGGAAGACTATTACACTGATATTTTAGGTTTCTATGAACCACCATGTATGATTATGTTTTCTCTCTTGCATGAAGAAATTGTCAAATTGGCAAGTAATTTAAACTCATTTACCAAAATGAACCTTTTTCTTCTTTTTCTTTTTTCCACATGACCTAATTTACAAGATCTATGCAAGCATAAAAGAGAGGAAACGAGAAGAGAAAGGTGGATAAAGAAAGAAAAAGTAGGAAAAACAAAGGAAAAAAAAAAAAAAAAAAAGAAAGGAAAGATGAGAAGATTGAGGATCAAATTATAAAACTTACAATACTATGTGGTATTATAATTGGAAAATGATGTGTGCACACCTGGGTGTGAACACATCATTAAAAAAAAAAAAGCCTATCACCCGGTCCATTTATTTTTTTTTATGTGAGGGGTGCACATTCGGGTGTTGGATCCGAGAGTGCACCAATCATTGTCCATTATAATTATATTATTTTTATAGTAAAATAAATACATAAATAACATAGAGGCAGGATGTTATCTTGAATGAAAGAGATCTAGATCAAATAAAATTCATTAATGAAAGGATAAACTCATGAGTTCCACGCTTTGTCTTGGTAGCGCATATCATCCCCAATCTCTTCTCCATCCCTACTTTGTAAGTATGTTAATGTTAATACAAATTCATCAGTTCAAATATGTATCCAGATCTTCTTCTCCACTCTCGTTTTCTATCTGCATCATTGTATCTCGTTCATCTCGTTCTTTATCTTCCAAGTCCGAGGTTCAATTGTCGGCAATAACAAAATTGCATCATCATAGAATTCAACTAAACTCTTTTTGGTATCCACTTGATTTTTTGGGAGAATTGTATCGCACTATAAGTTTCCATTCCTCCAAAACTCTCAAAAAACAAGTACCTTGTTTAACCACGTTTAATTTTGTTGGTATCAATTACATACAATTGCAATTGCAATTGCAGTAGCAATTTTTTTTAGAAGAATGGTTCATGGCAAGTTGGTTATTAAATAAAAATTAACTTTAATAGAAATTCAAATAGTGGTTAAGTGCAAATCTGAAAATAATTTTAGATATTAAAGTAAAAAAATTTCACATCAAATAAATAATAAAAATTTTTATAAATTATTCTTAATTAATTTTAAATTAGGTACAAGACTTCTATTGGAACAGACATCTTCCTTAATTTATCTGAATTACAATCAAAATTTAATAAATCTGCCGCATCAATGCATCATCAGTTCCATTGCAAGTGCATCAAAGTTGTAGTATCAAACCAAGCCCATGCTACTGGCATGGCAACTTGTGAAGTGAATTAATTAATTCAGCATTTATTAAAATAATTAATAAATTAGTGCTGTGTTCTGTGTTTAACGACGATATGCTTAGTCATCACTCCACAGTGACGCTTTGGTGGGTTTAGGACTTTTGTTTTGTCCCTTTTCTCAGTCAACAAAAACTTCCTCTCATGGATTATTAGGTGGCATTAATTAGATTAAGTTTTTGGAGTATTTTTTTACTCTTTCTTTTCTCCTTTGTGGTTTTCTCTCGCGTCTCTGGTTTCGCCTGACACGACATGCAGGTAACAATTTGCTGGAACCATTGATTTTAACCTCAACCCATCTTCTTCTTCCTCTCCTTCCAAGTTCCAACCTCAATGGCTACGAAAAACCGCATGGATACCGAAGAGGAAAGAGAGAAGAAAAGAGTCAACCTTGCAGATGATCCTTCCAACAGAGCGACTGTCCAGATGGATCTTCATCTTCTCCCACCGGAGATTCTGCTCGAAATCCTATCAAGACTCCCGATCACCTCTCTGATCCACTTCAAGACCACTTCCCATGCCGGCTATGATTTAATCGCCGATTCCAGACTCCCTCCGATGTTCCGTAATCGGGTAAGCGACTCTGACCCATGTCTGATTCTGTTCAACTACGATTACCCTGTCTCCCGGTCCCTGCAACTCTATTTTGTGGATATTGAGGATTGTAGTCGAAGGGGTAGGAAAATCGACCCACCACAGCATTCAAAAGTTAATAATCTGGTGGGTTCTTGTAATGGGCTATTATGCTTATCCTTAATCGGTAGTTCATGGAGGTCTCACAGTCTGCTAATTTACAATCCTTCTGTTGGAGACGCTGTAAGAGTCCCACCAGCGAACCAATTTCTGAATCAAAGTGAAGTTTTTGGATTTGGGTTTCATCCGAGGACAGGAGAATTCAAAGTGGTCAGGATTGTGTGTTTCGATGTGGAAGAAGGGGAAGAATTAACGGTTCAGGTGTTTACTGTAGGAACAACAGAGTGGAGAACGAAAGGAGCTACGCCTCGACGGTTAACCGGACCACCTGAGGTTCTAGTTGAAGGAACTCTCCATTGGGTGACTTTTGTTCGGATGGGAGGAGACGATCCTATCTTTGGTATTATCTCCTTCGAGCTTGCAGATGAGGTGTTCGAAGAAATTCCGCACCCACCTTGTCAACGATTTGTGTCACGTGGCTACCGTCTTTCCGTGCTCAATGGGTGTCTATCGGCAGCTGGGCTAGTTGATACTTTGCATTTTGATATCTGGGTGATGAAGCAATACCGTGTTAAGGAATCTTGGGTAAAACAACTCTCCTTTGATCCCTCTTTTCCTAGTAAATGGCCAAGCTTCTTAAGAAGATATCCCAGAGTTATATGTGCACTGAAGAATGGGGAGATTCTGTTGTGGTATAATAACAGTCCTTTCGCTTCTCTGGTTTCTTATGATCCTGTAGAAAACAGATTCAAGACTCTTCAAATGAGTGGGTTACCCAATTGGTTCGAGGCAGTTCCTTTTCTACCTTCTCTTTTCTCAGCAAAAGCAACCATGAATTTGCAATTTTAACTTCTCTTTCTTTAAGACTCTACCACTAGTTGTTTTAGTTTGTGTTGAATCTTTGATCATCAATGCGTCAGTTAACAGTTGTGTTATTTTACATCATCCTGGATGACCTCTGTTGTATGGCAATGAGACCCACCTGACTATTATCTGCCTTTTTCTCGGAAGGCAGTTCTGGAGAACGGGGAGATTGTGTTGGAGTGTAACAAGCGTTATAATGCTCCCCTTGGAATGGTGATTGAAGATTTTGCTTTGAGCTGGGTGGGAAGATTCTGAAGAGTTTTATGTGTCCTGAAGAACGGGAAGATTGTGTTGGAGTGTAACGAGAAAGCTCTAGTTTCTTATGTTCCTAAAACTAACGGGTTGAAGGCTCTGAAGATCAATAGGTTCCCTTAGCACTTCCAAGCTTTTGCTTTCCAGCATACTCTGTTCTCAGTAAAGGGTACCTTTGAAATAATCTTCACAAGTCTTCTTTAGTATACGGATATATAATTTCCTCAGCTTTAGTCAGGCTTCCATTGTTTATATATTGATTAATTAAGCATGTTTTTAGTTGCTTGAAGTTGTGACTCACTCACACCTAACTGAATACTGACAGGTTTCACTCTATAATTTTGTTCTTAAGAAGTTGACGATTTGATGATCTGATTTGTCAAATAAGGGAAGGCTATTGCACTGATATTTCAGGTTTCCATCAACCATGTATGATTATGTTTTCTCTGTTGCATGAAGAAATTGTCAAATTGGCAAGTAATTTAAACTCATTTACCAAAATGGACCTTTTTCTTCTTTTTCTTTTATCCCCATGGCCTAATTTGCAAGATCTATGCAAGCAAAAGGGAGAGGAAAAGAGAAGAGAAAGGTGGATAAAGAGAGAAAAGGTAGAAAACAGAAAGGAAAAGAAAAAGTAAAGATGAGAAGATTGAGGATAAGATTATAAAACTTATAATACTATGTGGTATTTTAATTATATTATTTTTGTAACAAAATAAATACGTAAATAACAAAGGCAAGATATGTCATCATGAATGAAAGAGATCTAAATCAAATAAAATCCATTAATGAATTTACAAACTCATGAGTTACATGCTTTGTTTTGGGGGCGCATATCATCCCAAATCTCTTATCCATCCCTACTTTGTAAATATGTTAATGTTAGCGCAGACTCATCAATGCAAAAATGTATATCTAGATCTTCTGTACCACTTTCGCTTTCTGTTTGCATACACTGTATCTTGTTCTTAATCTTCCAAGTCCTAGGTTCAAGTGTAGGCAATAAAAAAATCGCATCTTGGAATTCGACTAAACTCTTATTGGTATCCACCTGATTTTTTTACATAATGTATTGTTAATTTGCATTCCTCCAAAACTCTCAAAAAACAGGTACCTCGTTTAACCAAGTTTAATTTTGTTGGTATCAATTACATACAATTGCAATTGCAGTAGCAAATTTTTTTAGAAGAATGGTTAATTGTATGTTTGTTGTTACATAAAGATTAATTTTCATAGAATACTGTATCAACCACTATGTTCCTCTGTTCTTCTTTGATGGGCAGAGTGGAATGGTGAATGAAGATTTTGCTTCGAACTGGATGGGAAGATTCGTAAGGGTTTTGTGTGTCCTGAAGAATGGGGAGATTGTTCTGGAATGTAACAAGAGAGCCTTGATTTCTTATGATCCTAAAACTGGCAGGTTCAGGGCTGTGAAGATCAACAGACTCCCGCAGCAGTTCCAAGCTTTTGCTTTCTAACCCACTCTGTTCTTAGTAAAGGAAACCGTTTAAATGAAGGTTTAATATAATCTTCACAACCCTCCCTTTGTGTGTGAATATATAATTTCCTCTGTTTTACAGTTACTTGAAGTTGTGAGGATTCACTCACACCACAAACAGAATACTGGCAGATTTCAGTTTACAATTTTGTTTTTAAGAAATTGACAATTTGAGGATGAAATATGTCAAATAAGAGAAGGCTCTTTCACTGATATTCCAGGTTTACATCAACTACATATGATTTTGCTCTTCTCCTACATGAAAAATTGTCAAATTGGCAAAAAAAAAAAAAAAAAATTATAACAATGAATTAAATTACACAGTATCATTAATGAACTAAGGAAATTACCATCAATACATGAAGGGCTATGATAATAAGAAGCAAACAATGCATTTATGTATTCATAATAAGAAAGGAAATTATATCATTGAGGGTATCTGACAAAACTTTAAAAAAACAAGTTTTTTCTTTTAAAATTTGAAATTTTATTGAATAAAATATCAAAAATTAACTTTTAAAGATGCTTTTAAGTAAGTGTAAAAAAAATTTAGATGTATATAACTCTTAAAATTTACTTAAATATCACTTCAAATGCTAATTTTTTACTTTTCTTTAAATCATAAGAAGCAAACAATACATTTATTTATTCGTAATAACACTGAAAATTATCCAGCACAGGTACGGTACTTATTATTATTTTTTTGAAACATTTTGATATGGACGGGTTTAAAACCCGCCCAGAAAAAAGAAAAGTGCACTTGTTTAGTAATTAATGTTATTGGAAGTTAGGTATAGGTACGGTGCTTAATTAACAAAAAGATAAAATAAAGGTTGATAGGAAGCATAGAAAAGTAAAAGTTAAGGTGAGTTGATATTTAAAATGTTATATATAATAATAAAAAAATTAAAATATTTTGAATAAATTAACAAATAAAAAGATTAATTAATAATTTTTAAACAATTTTACGAATAGTTTTAATTAGAGTGATTAATGAGTTGGGTACTTAAGTACTTGTACTGAAGCTTGCTTTAAATATTCAAACTCGAGTCGAGTTCGAGTAGTTATCAAATTTGAAATAGTTGAATCTGTGCTTAAACTCAAGGTTTTTAAAACCGGATCGGACCGGTCGGTTGAACTGGTCGGACCGGTATCGGTCATAAAAACGGTTCGGTTCATATAAGAAAACCATTTGAGGTCAAAATTAGTCAAAATCGGTAAAAACTGATAAAACCGATAAAACCGATAGAACCAGAAAAACCATCGGTTCAATTTCTCATGCAATCTTCTTTCAATTTTTTCCAATTTCACCCTTCTCATTCCTTTCTTATACCCATTTTAACCTTTAACTTTAACAAAATTACAAAATTATC